AGAGTCATTTACAACAGCTTCGAACGCGGCTCAGCCAATCAGAATCAAGGACCGGAACTCTCCGTTTTATAAATATGTAACATTGAAACTTAGAAACGTTTTATTTGGTGCAGGATTCACAATTTTCTCTCAGTAATTTGTACTCAATTTCTCGTAAATTTCACAAAGAAATAATTACAAAGAAACTACAGGTAACACACTGAATTATGAAATTTTGAAGTAGAATGACTGAAAGTGTTTTCTTGTCAAATGTACTCCAATAATATTATTTACAACCTCAAAAAAAAAATGTTTTTTACAGTGTAGTGAAACCTGCCGGAGAATTATGCTGCAAGATTCAGTCCTGAATCACATTTAAACATAATTACCACAAACAGCCATCAGAAACCCATCAAGATGAACCGCTAAAGAGAAACACGCCACTCGAGGCTTGAGATTTACAGAGAATGAGCTCAAAGTGCGTGCGACATTAAATGTGTGTGTCCTTGAGGCTTTGCTTGTAGAGATGTTGAGGGCAGTCAGAGACTTTTGATTCAAAGCGATGTTGACGTGCATCAACCGCAGACACGAGTACAGAAACCCACGAGAACATCTGATCTGATCTGACCTCTCATCAGAAGTGATCGGTGTGGCAGAACTGGTGAATAAAACCAACGGGCCGTGGTTCAATCGTTTCGATGAGGATCTGGCAACCGCGTTCTCCATCTACTGCGGCATCAGCATCGCTCATGTAAGAGTTTCTGCAGCATCCCTCGATCACTCAACACAATATTACAGTGACAACAACTTAAAACTTTATAGAAATGTAAATTTAATGTGTATTCTATTATATATTATATATAGTATATAATAGAATATAAATGATAAAATATACATTTTACGTAACAGTTGCATTAATTGCGTTGAAATACTGAAATAAATGAACTTTTCCACGACATTCTAATTTATTGAGATGCACCTGTATATATACATACACCTATATTTATATTTTATTTCATCATTTATATTCTAATATATATAAAGTGAAAGTGACATGTGGCCAAGTATGGTGACCCATACTCGGATCTCTCTGAGTCTCTCTCTCTCTCTCTCTCTGTCTCTCTCTCTGCCCCTCTCTCTCTCTCTCTCTCTCACACACACGCACACACACACACACACACACACACTCTCTCTCTGTCTGTCTCTCTCTCTCTGTCTCTCTCTCACACACACTCACTCACTCACTCACTCACTCACACACACACACACTCTCTCTCTCTCTCTCTCTCTCTCTCTCTCTCTCTCTCTCTCTCTCTCTCTCTCTCTCTCTCTCTCTCTCTCTCTCTCTCTCTCTCTCTCTCTCTCTCTCTCTCTCTCTCTCTCTCTCTCTCTCTCTCTCTCTCTCTCTCTCTCTCTCTCTCTCTCTCTCTCTCTCTCTCTCTCTCTCTCTCTCTCTCTCTCTCTCTCTCTCTCTGTCTCTCTCTCTCTCTCTCTCAGGGTGTTCTGAGCATGCTTGAAGACATGGGCTTCATCAACACCTATAAGATCGACCTGCACACGCTAGCCAGGTACAGAAACACAACACGTTCACAGCTCAACAATGAAACAATCTTGTAGAAATCTAGTTAACATCATCTATCATGCTCTTAGAAATGGAAGATTTGCTTTTGGTTCTGAACTATTACTACTATTTTGTACTACTAATGTATAATTTATACTGATAATTCATACAGTTCATACAATTTGTACTAATTTATAAAATGTATACTATTAATTTATACAGCTTCTACCATTTTGTACTGCTAATTAATACAATGTGTACCATTTATTATTACGGTAGCCTACTATTAATTTATACAGTTTATATAATTTTGTACTGGTAATTTATACAAGTTACACTATTTGTTCTACGAATGTATTCTATTTATACCATTTGGCACTATTAATTTAAACAATTGAGATTATATTATGCTACTAATTGATACAATTTATACCATTTTCTTCTGCTGGTTTATTCAACTTAAATTTCATTCTACTAATGTATAATTTATTCTATTTTATAGTACTAATTAATTTGATTTATACTATTTGTACTAATTTATACAATTAATACAGTTTTGTTACTTTGTTCTACTAATTTATAATATTTATAACATTTGTTCCTATAGATTTATGTAATTTAAATTCTTTTTTTGGACTGTTCATTTATACAATTTATACTATTTGTTCTACTAATTTATACTATTTATACAATTTGTATTACTAATTAATAAAATTTTGCCATTTTGTGCTACAAATGTATAATTTTTTGTACTGCTAATTTATACCAAATTTACTATTTTGAACTAATTAATATAATTTTGTACTATTAATTTATGCAATTTTGTACTAGTAATTAATTCAGTTTTGCTATTTTGTGCTACTAATTTATATTTTCAACAACATTTTTGATCAAAAGACTCGAAATGTCAAGTAAAAAGTAATTTAATATTTTCCTCACACCTTGAGCTCTTGTGCACTTCTCCAGTCATCACTTTTATTGCTATAAAGTTTTCAAACACATTTTTATGGTAAAATAACTAAATCTGTCATAAAAACCTGATATTTGTAGCTGACAGCTGATCAGTCTCATCAATCCTCTGCTGATCTCATGTATATTTGATCAGTGTCTCACCTGAGCCGATGCCGATGCTGATGCTGATGCTGTTGCCAGGCAACGGAGCGGCTCATCTATAAGTCATAGCAGAGGGATGATGAGCTTCAGATGATGAATCAATAAGGAGTCAGACACGTTCAGAGCATCTGTTCCTGTTGCTGTAGGTTTTGTCTGATGGTGAAGAAGGGCTACAGAGACCCTCCGTATCACAACTGGATGCACGCTTTCTCCGTCTCACACTTCTGCTACCTGCTTTACAAGAACCTACAACTGTCCAACTACCTCGAGTAAGCTGAGAATCACTCAAACCAGGAACCAGTGCGACCTGATGAAACACTGCATTGCTGAGTTTTACGCAGCTTTACACTCATTCAAACAGTTTGAATCGTTTTAGTGAGTCAGTTCATGTAAATGAATGAAATCAACGATTCATTACCTCCCAAATAAAGGCACTGCAGCTTAATTATCGTAGTGAATTATTTTGACACTGTTTTCAGTTCACTCCTATACATTAGGATGTTTCTAGTTTTATTGTTTCTTTTGTGTAAATTATGTGTTCGTATTGCGTTCACTGTCACTCTAATCGAGGTGGCTGAAATCTTGAGATCACATGACCTTTTTACTTACGGTTTAACAGTTTTATACTATTTTGTACAACTAATATATTCAACTTGTAATAATAATAATAATAATAATTGATATAGCACTTTTCATACATGGAACGCAACTCAAAGTGCTTCACAAGCATAAAACAAATATTAAGAATACAATATCAATATAAGATAATCAAAATTAAATGATTCAACAAGTATAAACAAATATGAACAATTTTTTACAATTTATGCTATTTTGTATTATTAATTTATTCAATTTATATTATTTGTACTACAAATTTTTGCAATTTATAATATTTGTACTAATAATTTTTTACAATTTATATTTCATTCTACAAATTTTTACAATTTATATTTTTGTACTAATAATTTTTTTGAATTTATTTTATTCTACTACTTTTTACAATTTATATAATTTTGTACTACTAATTTATTCAATTTATATTTTTTATACACAATTATAATTTCAGTTTATACTTTTTTTTTTTTCTACTAAATTATACAATTTCTACTGGCAGAGATATAGAGATTCTGGCGCTCTTCGTGTCCTGCATGTGTCATGATCTGGATCATCGAGGAACCAACAACTCCTTTCAGGTGGACTCGGTACGTCCATCATCCACCTAAATGCCTTCGTGAGACGGTTCATAGTTTGTGTGAAATTGCATGAAATGTAATAAATTAATATGTGTACAATATCTGTTTTCACCAGCAATCCGTCCTGGCAGCCCTTTACAGTTCAGAGGGATCTGTGATGGAGGTACACACACACGCACGCACTCTCACAGAGACACACACACACACACGCACACACACACACACGCACGCACGCACGCACGCACGCACGCACACACACACACATTTATTTATTTATAAAAGGTCTACAATTTTTAGTAAGTTTTAGTTGATTTTTTAGTCATTTTAGTATTCCAACTTAAACTAAACAAAAATGAGACATGTTGCCTTGGCAACTAGCTGAAATAAAATAATGTACTTTTTTATTTTATTTCAATTAATGTTTATTTCATTTGAAGAATTTTGTTCAAGTTATTTCAAATTTTCAAATCTGTACGTCCCCAAAAGCAGATTGATTCATTCATTTTTTTAAACTAACTTCGGGGTACAAATTTGTCCCCAAAATATGGAGCACACTCACACAATGTGACTATAACCCTGTTTACAAGCGTCCCAAACTCAGTCTATGGATTGTACAGTTGTTTTCTATTCTCTGGCAGAGTTTAACCCTGTGTTGTGGTTGAATCTCATGTGTTTGTACCTGTGAATGTGGCTCAGATGAAGTGTGTCTGCTGCCCTTTGCTGTTCACACACACTCAGCGCCGATCTAGTGTCTGTGTGTGCTTGTGTTTCAGAGACATCACTTCGCTCAGGCCATCGCCATCCTCAACACACACGGCTGCAACATCTTTGAGAAGTTCTCTAGAAAGGTGCATCACTCGACGAGCCTGATTTCTCTGATTAAAAAGGATAAAGTCTATGAATCATTCTGTGCTCCTTCCCCTGACCTTGATGCTTTGCTCTCTCTGGTGTTCAGGACTATCAGCGGATGCTGGATCTGATGAGAGACATCATCCTGGCCACAGATCTGGCTCATCACCTGAGGATCTTCAGGGACCTGCAGAAGATGGCTGAAGGTGCGACTTCAGGGCTTAACGAACATGACAAATTCCATTTGTGTTATAAGATCAAATGCAAATTCATTTTTAATAATAAAAATAATTTCACAAGGATTTAATCCAAAATAAAAATAAAATAAATTTTTCCAAAAAAATTTAGTTTTATTTGTATTTATTAAATAATAATAAATAGTTTTATTTAATTTTTAAGTAATAAAATAAAAGATTAAAAATTAAAGTTATTTTATTGAAATAAACTAAAAGTAAAAAAAAAATAAAGTTGAATTTTTTAAAATAATAAAAATAAAATATTAAATAAAAGTTTACTTTTTGTGTAGCACAAAAGCTGAAGTTCAGGACACAAATAAATTAATGCATTAAGAGAAAAATTTATTTTGTAAAATAAAAATAATAATGTAAATAAGTAATAATAAGAAACGTCAGCCACAGGGTTGTTATAGTTAACAAAAACTAAAACCATAAAAAAACACTTTTGCTTACTGAAATAAACATTAATGAAAAAAAAAATTTCAGCTAGTTACCAAGGCAACATTTTCATTTAGTTTAACTTAAAATAACTAAAACTAAAAAAAAAAAAAAAACTGAAAAAAGAAAAAAAACTAGACAAATAAAAAAAGCTAATAAAAATGACAAGACAAAAAAAAATGAAAACATAAAAACTAAATTCAAAATATTATTAAAAACTATAATAGTATCAGTCAGTCCTGCAAAATAAAATAAAAATAAATAAAATAGCAGTGTGTTGTGAGAATAAAAAATGTCTTGACTTGAGTTATTGTTGATGTATTTAGCTGGAGATGCGGTGTGTGTGTGTGTGTGTGTGTGTGTGTGTGTGTGTAGCTGGTTATAACCCGAGGAGTCAAACCCATCGCAGTCTGCTGCTGTGTCTCCTCATGACCTCCTGTGACCTCTCAGACCAGACCAAGGGCTGGAAAACCACCAGGAAGATCGCGGTACGAGTCCTGAAGCTCACACTCATGAGTCCAGCCAAACACTGTCTCTCTCTCACTCGTCTGTGTTTGTTTCGCAGGAGCTGATCTATAAAGAGTTCTTCTCTCAGGGGGATCTGGTGAGTTAAACAGCACTGTTGTTTGTGTTTCAGAGACATTTCTATCTGTGCTGCTAACCTGGTTTGATCAAAGACACTCGTTTAATTACCTTCTGCAGCATGTGACCAACTTTCAATATGTAAATAACAATTGTTGTTTCAATATTAAACAATAAATAAATAACATATAATACTAAATGGTTGTAAAAAGGTTAACAAGACACTTAAGTAAATGTTCAAATTTTATCAAAATTTGTTGAATAGATGTTGAAAAGAAATATCAACATTTTCAATTTGCAAAATTGAAACGAATTTCTGTGATTCAAAGAGTTTGGTTCACCAAATTAATGTTGAAACGCTGCCTGGTTCCGTTATTCACTTAAAAAAAAAAAATAATAAAAAATTAATTTAAAAAAAGAAAAAGCTGAGATGTAAAATAAATAATAAATATTTGAGATTACACTGGAAAATATTTATTATTTGTTGTACATCACAGCATTTTCAGTTTTTTTTTAAATTTTAACACACACTCTCACACACTCTCACACACACACACTCTCACACACACACGCACACGCACTCACGGTTTACACACACACACACACACACACACACACACACACACACATTTTCTTTATAAAAGACTTTATTTCAAAGTTTAACCCCGTACAGCCTGACATATGAAATTGAAAATTTTTAAATTAAAGTTTATTGAAACTTTATTTGGGCCATCAGGCTTTTCTGTCTCATATAGTCTAATACAGTGAGAATATGGAGGAAAAAACTGCTCAGTTTTATTCAGAGACTCAAACTAAACAAAAATATGCAATTTGCTGCAGATGCTGATATTTACAGTATATGATGAAATTCAGCTGCTTGTAATCTAAATCAGTGAGATCTTTATAACAGTAGAGCAGATACTGACATAAAATGATCTGAATCTCAGTCGTCGCTCTGTATCTGCAGTAATAAGATGAGATTGAAATGATCCAAACATATAATGCAGTGATTGAGAGCTGAAGAAATAAAGGCTCCTCAGAAGATGTGAGATGTTCTGGAGGCTTGTGAAGATCATTCCTCCGCTGAGGAACAGTGAAAGTAAAGCTTCTGGAAACAAACGCTCCTCAAAAGATCCTGAGGATCAGATTTGAGACTCTAAAACATGATTGATGGAGAATCAAGTAAAGCTGAGCTGCTTCAGTCCAGTAAGTGTTCATCTGGAGATATTACTGCAGTTATTCTGACCTTAACTTGATCAAAATCAGTCAAGATTTGACACGAGAAGCTCCAGCTGAAGCTGGACGCTTGTACAATTACACTAAAAGAGCTTTGACTGGATAAAACACTCTAAACTATCAACCAGAGACAGAAGACATGAGGAGATCGGGTTTGATCATTGAGATGCCTTAGAAGTTCATGATACACCTGACTCTGTTCTTGTGTCTTCAGGAGAAGGCGATGGGAAACAGACCCAGTGAGATGATGGACCGTGAGAAAGCCTACATCCCTGAACTCCAGATCAGCTTCATGGAGCACATCGCCATGCCAATATACAAGTCAGAGAATCACTCATTTCATGCATGTGATGCTGGTTATTCATCAAGACCAGCTCTAGAGTTTAGAATAACTCTGGTGTTTTTTTTCAGGCTCCTGCAGGAGATTTTCCCGCGTTCGGCCGAGCTTTACGAGCGAGTGGCTGCCAACCGCGAGCAGTGGGCCAAAGTCTCGCACAAGTTCACCATCCGCGGACTGCCGAGCAACAACTCGCTGGACTTTCTGGACGAGGAGTTCGAGCTGCTGCAGTCTCAGGGCGCCTTCGGAGACGATTCGCACCGCATGAACGGTTGCCTGGACGACGACTGTGACAAACACAACCAATGACGTCGCTAGGGCAAAGGTCACCTGACGGATTCCGTCTTGGTAAAATTCCGTAGTTACCGACGAGGCTTTGAGGAAAGGTTAATTGTCACCTTTTTGCCGTTGCTATGGAGAGGGGTTTTGCTCAATGAAGAACGATGGATGGTGTTGCGCAGTCGGCGGAGTGTGTAATGTTGCGCAAACATTTGGACTGAAAAAAGTTATATTATCAGTGGCCCTGTTGTAATAGCTAAACATATTTTATTCTAAATGAAACAACTAAACAACTAATTGTATGAAACGTAACAAGTCCAGCAGCCCAGTGTTACATTTTTAAAAGCTGTAACAAATACAGGTGTCTAGTGTTACGTTTAGAACTTGTAACAATTCCAGCTGCCTGTTGTTACAGTGTTACATTTTTTTTTACAACTCATAACAATTCCAGCTGCATGGTGTTACATTTTTAAAGCTTGTAACAGTGTAACACCTGCTGCTGGAATAGTTACATTTTTAACACTTTGTAAACATTCCAGAAGCCTGGTGTTACACTTTTAGAACTTGTAACAATCACAGCTGCCTGGTGTTACAGTGTTACATTTTTGAAACTTGTGACAATTCCAGCAGCCCGGTATTACATTTTTAAAACTCATAACAATTCCAGATACCCAGTGCTACATTTTTTAAACTTGTAATAATTCCAGATGCCTGGTGTTATATTTTTTGCAACTTTTAACAGTGTAACACCAGCTGCTGGAATTGTTACGTTTTTAACACTTTGTAGCAATTTCAGCAGCCTGGTATTACACTTTTAGAACTTGTAATAATTCCAGCTGCCTGGCGTTATATTTTTAAGGACACCTTAAAATAAAGTGTTACCTGTTACACGTAAGTACATGTAGTTAATTAATATTACTCAGTACTTATATGTATAATTACACTGTAACAAAGACACCTTAAAATAAAGTGTAACCCATTTTTACAACTTGTAACACTGTAACACCAGCTGCTGAAATTGTTACATTTTTAACACTTAGTAACAGTTCCAGCAGCCTGGTGTTACACTTTTAGAATTGTTTTGAAGTAGTTGTTATTTTGTGACACATCCAAGAAGAAGCTCATTTAAATACTACAAAGAAAACTAAGCCACTGTTTTCTTTTCTGCGTCCTTAGCAATTTACAGAAATTGTCAGACGAAACAGATCTTTGGATAATTAATCTTTTGCTTTCAACCAATTTTGCCCCTCAGACATCAGTTGTCCCTGTTTACACAGAAAAACGCAACACAACAACATTTCTCCATTCCCGAAATCCCAAAACCCAAAACAATCATTGAAAACCTCAGTCAAGCGAGCAGCGGCTGGCGGCCAGAGAGAGATTAGAGTGCGTGCGTGTGTGACGACAGGCGTGAAAACGCACGGCCCACCGGAGACCTTCTGAGACATCTGCTGGTTTCAGACGTGCCCATCCGGAACTGAATCTGTACATATAGTTGTGTGTTTTAAAGGGCTACGCAGCCCTCACACTTTTCTTTCTCAGGATGGCAGAATGTGTGCGTCAAATGGATCTTGCCTTACAAATGTTTGCGTTGCCTTCCTGAGTGACTTTAAAAAGAGATCTATGTTTAAAAACGTTCAGCCTATCTATGTACAGCTCTGCAGCTACATGGATATATAGAGATATCTATTTGCCGTGTGTAAATGTGTGTTTGCACAGGTGTGACTGTAAGTGCATTTGCCAAAATCTGCAAAGGACAGAAAAAAAGAGTGATGTCAGTTTGCTTGTACTAGCTTCTCCCACACGGGTCGCTAACATTAACCTGTGTCAATTTCACAAAAACTCATTCATATTTCTCAGCAAAATCAAAAGAATTAAATAAGTTATATTAAATTTTATGATTAAAATTTGGCATACATTTTTTTAAGACCATTATCATTGTAACATTAATTATATGTCCTTACATTTTATTTTTTTTATTCATTACAGTATATATATATAATGTTTAATTTCCATTAATGTCATAATGTTAAAATTTTAATGGTCTTAAGAAAAGTCTTCATGCTAATTTTTAAGATTTTTTTTTTGTATTATATATTTTTTAGATTACTTTTTGTTTGTTTTTGTTTTTTTGTTGTGGGTTTTTTTTTTTCTTTAGATTTTTTAAAAATTATATATTTTTTAGATGACCTTTTTTTTGTTTTTGTTGTGGGGTTTTTTTTTTTAGATGACTTTTTGTTTTTGTTTTTTTAAGATTACTTTTTGCGTTTGTGTTTGTTTTTTTTGTTGTGGTTCTTTTTTAGACGACTTTGTGTTGTGTGTGTTTTTTTTTACATTGATCCTGGGGAAATTATACTGATGTTTGGCTTTAAAGAAATGCACCTCTCTTGCTCTGGAGATTAATGCAAAACACAAACGTTCAACTGCTGTATCCATCAGCCAGAGATCCAAACACAAACCTTCATTCTTCATGATTAACCAAGACTTACTCGAGATGCATTCAGGAAAAACTCCGATTTTCCTGAAGCATGTGTTTTATATATTTACGATAATTCAGCAGTCCAAAGTTACAAATAAAATGTGACCATGTGAGGAAATGTTAGGGATTTCTGGCTTGGAACATTAAATTTTTCTAACAACTTCTGCTGTATTTGAAAGAAAAAATATATTTAATGCTGGCAGTCAACTTTAAATAATTTAAATGCTTTCTTATAGAGTTTCCATTGTATTTTGAGTTAATAATTATTACAGATATGATACTATTGTTTTCTTGTGCAATAAGTGGTTTTTGCGTCGCCTTGTGTACATAACATCCATTTCTAAATTATTACTTTTTACACACACACTTTGATTTAATGAATCTATTTTCTGGTATTTGTACCTGTTTGTACCTGTAGGTGACGGTAAATGACATTGTTTTTCTTTGGTTTGGAATAAAAACGTTCAGAGTTCAGGTTGAAGAATAAAATTATTTCTTGACGTTTGTGAAAGAACACCTGATGACAGACATTGCTAATACTTTACAATAAAGTTCATTTTTTTAACTACATTAGTTAACATGAACTAATAATGATCAATAATGCTACAGCATTTAAGCCAATTTCGACATTATTCACAAATATAGTTTTAAAATCAATAGTGAAAACGCTTCTCTTAACATGAACTGCACAAGAAAAAAAATTACAAATGCATTTTATAACTTTTAAAATCAAGTATCTGTTAAAATGAATGCATCAACTAACGAACACTGAACTTTTTTTTAGATCATTAAATGCTGTTGCTCCTGTTATCTAAAGCATTAATGTTAATAAACGAGACTTTATTGTACAGTATTACAGAACTACATGAAATGAGAGCGTCTCTGGTTTAGTGATTTAGCGCTGAATGCTGTTCTGTCTGGAGACACGCGTGTGTAGATACTGTACAGATCATTGTGTCTTCAGCTTACATGAGGATTATGAATGAAAATATCAATTATAAATAAAAGGTTTCGTTCAAATAAACTCTTGGCATCTCAGTCGAAACAAACCATCACAAATATGTCATTCATTTAGTTTTTATTCAGTGCTGTAAAAATAAATATTTCAAACATATTTAAAGTCATTCTCACAAAAAAGCAAGAGTTTGAGCACCGGCATATCACACACACACACACTCTCTCTCTCTCTTTCTCACACACACACACACACTCTCTCTCTCTCTCTTTCTCACACACACACACTCTCTCTCTCTCTCTCTCTCTCACACACACACACACACACACACTTATATGTATGTGTACATACATGCACACACAAACACACACACTGTCTCTCTCACACACACACACACACACACACTTATATGTATGTGTACATACATGCACACACAAACACACACACTGTCTCTCTCACACACACACACACACACACACTTATATGTATGTGTACATACATGCACACACAAACACACACACTGTCTCTCTCACACACACACACACACACACACTTATATGTATGTGTACATACATGCACACACAAACACACACACTGTCTCTCTCACACACACACACACACACACACTTATATGTATGTGTACATACATGCACACACAAACACACACACTGTCTCTCTCACACACACACACACACACACACTTATATGTATGTGTACATACATGCACACACAAACACACACACTGTCTCTCTCACACACACACACACACACACACTTATATGTATGTGTACATACATGCACACACAAACACACACACTGTCTCTCTCACACACACACACACACACACACTTATATGTATGTGTACATACATGCACACACAAACACACACACTGTCTCTCTCACACACACACACACACACACACTTATATGTATGTGTACATACATGCACACACAAACACACACACTGTCTCTCTCACACACACACACACACACACACTTATATGTATGTGTACATACATGCACACACAAACACACACACTGTCTCTCTCACACACACACACACACACACACTTATATGTATGTGTACATACATGCACACACAAACACACACTCACACACACTCTAAAAACGACTGCAGCTTTAACAAATCGCTGCTCAATTCAAATAAAATCCATCATACACTTTTTATTTAATTTTAAATGTGTAATATTCAATATCACTCACATCTCACGCGATCATAGAAACAACACAAAATGATTGCCAACAGAAATATGTAAACATTATAATACAGTCCAAATCATTTTATCACAGAATCATCGGAATGCTTTGGAATATTGAAATGATTCATTCTAAACGTGAAACACTGAAAAACAACAAAATATCGGAGTTTAAATTAGATTTTTTTTTAAATGTAACATTTTACAATAAGGTTCCATTTGCTAACAATAGTTAACATTAACAATGAAAAATCTTTTTAAACGGGCAAGTTTAAAAATTCCAAAGTTTTATCTGTTAATATTAATTAAACCATCAAAAACTGAAATAAATATGAAAAAAATTATGTAACTAACAGATGCATTAACTAATGATAACAAATGAGATCTTACTGTAAAGCGTTGCTAAAAACAGCAGGAGCTGCACAGGAATTCTGGGTAATCGCTGAGGTAGAAACAACTAGTTATTTATTTGTTTCAAATCTTAGTGTTTTTTAAGGTTTGAACGTCTGTCCTTTATTCTGCTCCAGAAATATATCTTAACACATAATAAACCCTTCATGTGATAAAGCGAGAGACGTCTTCATTCAGATTCTGTCCGGCTCTTCATCGAACATCATTTGTTTCCCAAATAAAGCAAACATCTGGAAAAACTACGAAAACAAACCAAAAGAAGAAAGCGATCGACTAAGAATTTCAAAGGGTAAACAAATAAAATAAATGATATTCTGCATAAACAAAACAATTAGAGCTGCTTGAGGAGCTTTGAGATTCTCTGCACTGTGACATTATTTTAATCATTTTAAGCCCATTTAAGAGATTGAAATGAAAAAAACACACACACACACACACACACACACACACACACACACTCAAAAGTTTGGGATCAGAATGATTTTTAATGTTTTTTAAATAAGTCTCTTCTGCTCATCAAGGCTGCATTTATTTGATCAAAAATACAGGAAAAAATACAATATTGTGAAATATTATTGTGATGTAAAATAACGTTTTCTATTTTAATATACATTAAACTGTAATTTATTTCTGTGATGCACAGCTGTATTTTCAGCATCATTACTCCAGTCTTCAGTGTCACATGATCTTCAGAAATCATTCTAATATGTTGATTTATTATTAGAATTATCAGCAGTTGTGCTGCTTAATATTGTTTTGGAAGCTGTGATACTTTTTTCAGGATTCTTTGATTAATAAAAAGTTCAAAAGAAGAGCATTTATTT